CGACGTTTCGGAGGAACGTAGGCGATACGTTCCTCCGAAACGTCGGTTAACACCACATATACACGGTGCCAAATCCCAGAAGATTGCTTTCTTCATAGTCACCGCCGTGAAAGCCTCAAATATTACAGATAGTTCTTTGAACTCCCAGAGGACCTATCGTAATGGTATTCTCCCATCTCACAGATAGTTCTCTGAACCTGCAGAGGATCTGTCGTAATGGTACACTCCCATCTCTTACATGGCAATCCATTTCTGTAAGATCTCTCTTAATAATATATTCCCAAATCACAAATAGATCTATCAGCATTCTTGAGATTTATCTTAATAATATCTTTGTATACAAGCAAAAAAACAAAACCCATGGCTTTAGTCCGCAAGCGAACTATACCGACCGAGCGACCTCCGCTTGTCCAAGTTAGTGCCAGGATATCATGTCATAATAAATCAAATAGAAAAGGAGACATATTTCCACGTTGTTCCAAAATATTTCGTGCTGTGGATGGACCGTAGCGCCTGTAACGGTTGACTTGTGAACTGCTTATTTTCATGTTTCGAAACTGAGGGAGATTTATTTACCTTTATTCAGAGAATAGAGGGATATTACTTTGCCATCAATTTTATGGTTCCAGCCTGTACTTTGTTTGCAGCCTGTGTGGGTTGTCGATTTTGGTTGGTTACTTTGTGACGAAGAGGAGGGGTGACAGTAGTGTTGCTAGAAATTTTAAGCAACGTGCATCANATGTCACAGTTTTTTGAACCTCCAGATGATCTATCGTAATGCTATTCTATCTCACAGATAGTTCTCTGAACCTCCAGAGGACCTATCGTAATGGTATTCTCCAAACTTACAGATAGTTGAAGAGGGCAATCTTCTGGGATTTGGCACCGTGTATATGTGGTGTTAACCGACGTTTCGGAGGAACGTAGGCAGAAAANCAAGTTAGTGCCAGGATATCATGTCATAATAAATCAAATAGAAAAGGAGACATATTTCCACGTTGTTCCAAAATATTTCGTGCTGTGGATGGACCGTAGCGCCTGTAACGGTTGACTTGTGAACTGCTTATTTTCATGTTTCGAAACTGAGGGAGATTTATTTACCTTTATTCAGAGAATAGAGGGATATTACTTTGCCATCAATTTTATGGTTCCAGCCTGTACTTTGTTTGCAGCCTGTGTGGGTTGTCGATTTTGGTTGGTTACTTTGTGACGAAGAGGAGGGGTGACAGTAGTGTTGCTAGAAATTTTAAGCAACGTGCATCAGTTGCACAGTTCGGAGGTTCTACTGGACAAACAATTGAAATGGGTAAGTATGGACTGTGTTGTTGCATTGCCCATCTATGGAGTTCTTATCTTCTGTCAAATTACGAGATTATTGGTTCATGGCTGTAGGTAGTATTATTTTTATGTCAGTTTTGTGTTTATATTTGATGGGTTAGCGCAGTCGGTATAGCGACTGGCTACGGGCCGGACTACGAGGGGTCGGAGTTCGAGTCTTGGTGGGGGCAAGAATTTTCTCTTCTCCAAATCGTCCAGACTGGCTATGGGGTCCACCCAGCCTCCTATCCAATGGGTACGAGAGTAAAGCGCCAGGGGCGTGAAGCTGACCACTCACCTCCAATTATTGCCAAGGTCAAGAAAATGCGGATCTATACGTCCACTCCCCCATACGCCTTCACGGCGTAGTGCGTAATTAGTTAACATAGGGACAACTTTACCTATTAATATCACACAATTCGTAAAATAACGGTAAAGTAGAAGGAAGACGTATAAAATAAATCTGCCACTTACGAAAATTTTTTTACAATGGTATATTACCATATACCACGTATATCTGGACATGTTAAGGCTTTGCCGCTTTCCTCTTATGAAATCATAATTTACCGCCTGTTCTGTATGGTTGTAAAACGTGACTTCTTTGAAGAAACTGCATACGTTTCAGTTACCTGAAAACCAGTTGTTCTGGGAAATATATGGACCAATCACATAATTCAGTGAGTAAAAATATTCTTCCATGATATGTATACAGTGACCGTCTTGTAGTGCACTCAATTTCACCTGTCACTTCACGACACGTTTCGGCAACATAGTGCCATCATCAGGTGCCCTAATTACGCTAAGCTATTGCATTGCTTGCCATTATGTCTTTGTAAAATTATTTAAAAAGTGCGTATTCATCAACTATAATAAATTTACACACACTAAAACTTGTTAAGATTATTCATCTTATGTGTCTTAATTAAAACTTGCGTGTGGTTCTTCCACTATGGGGGTCGTTTTTCTTATATTCTGTGTAAACCGTGTCTTGTGATGTGTGTTCCCCTTTTTAGCTGCGAGTGTTGTGCGAAATTGAGTGCACTACCAGACGGCCACTGTATACATATCATGGATGAAAATCAGTGCAACAGGACGCTAAAATACAACATTAAAAATATTCTATTGATTGTAGCCTCTCCACCTGTACAGGAAATCTAATATTATTACATTAATTGCGTCAGAAGATGAGAGGTCTGACGAAGTATGAAGGATACGCACTCGAAGCTTGATATAAGAATTATTTAAGTATTTAGAAGATCTTGTTCTCGTAAATTTTTCATTGTGTGATGTATACCTCATATACAAGCGGAATATGACAACCGGTTTCCTGAAAACTGAAGCCCATAAGTTACTAGGAAATTAGTGTATATCAAATACATAAACCACAGAAACATATCCATGCTCAACTCATGCTCAAATAACATTTGAAAGGTAAAGTTTAACTAATTAAGCACTACTCCATGAAGGCGTATGGGGGAGTGGATGTATAGACCTACGTTTTCTTGACTTTCAGTGGTCAGCTTCACGTCACGACCGCTTTAACCCCGGGGAAAGAGCTCCCGGTACCCATTTGATATGAAACTAAGTGGACCCAACGACATGAAGTGAAAATTCTTGACCCTAGCAACGGGTCTAAATGCCAATTGCGCAGTTACTCAACAATTCCCCCCCCCAAAAAAAAAACAAATTATGGAATACGAAGGTTCATATACTTCCAGCCTACAAAATTAAATTTAGAGGGTTGTGAATAAGGATATTTAGCCCCACGCTCAACCCCCAGCCTGGATGACCAGAGACCACACTTTGTCTGGCCCCTACCATTTGATCTGTCATGAGTGGCCCTACCAGGAGCTTATGGTCCCGCCAGCATATCACTTTCCACGATAAAGCGGTAGTTCTCGAGGACTATAAACAAGAACCTGAAACCTAATAGATTTAAATAATGCCAACTACAGAAAATAACCGCTCACATGCCACAATAACAACATTTCTACAGACAATATTTGCCGTAGAGACACATCCGACTGAAGGTCTAACCTTTGCACCATGGCGAACATCAACATTTGAAGAGTCTCTGTTTGACCCAGTGGGTACAGTATTAAGCAGTGAAACAGCTGAGTGCTTTAAAACAACGCCGCTTACGAATAAGGTCTGATGGTATACACAAAGCTTACAGGAGTATTTTTGAACTGTAAATGCTGGCAGTCATGTTCCTTCTGAATGTCCAATGAGCGCAAAGATCTGCTGATGATCAGCAAGGGCTCAGTTGGTAAAGAAGCCTCATGATAGGAGCAACAGCAGCCAAAATACGTTGTTGCCAGTTTGCGCCTCTTTCTTGCCAAGTTCTGTCAGGTAGTAGAGCCTCAGTCGTCGATTCTAACGAGAAACATTATACAGTAAACCCTCGTTATAACTGTCCGTTATAGTCTTTGTCTGCTATAACAAAGTGAAGGGGTATTCAGGGAAGTACACCATAGAATTCATTGGCAATACACGCAATAAACATAGAAGCCCACAGTGTGATTTCATAGAAGTGTTTATGTTTTCTATTTTAAATATTTTCCTAGGTAGAAAACCCTTCTTGGTACTTCGACATCCCAAGATTTCACAACTGCACATAGCCAGATTTTGTTCGTTATATTAACGGTTTGCTGTAATCTTATTGGAAGTAAAACACGTGGGCATTATTACTGTAAACCCTGATAATCCGGTTGCAGTTATTCTGGATCGAAGTATGAAGTAACCCGTTTACTGTTTGTACATATTTTAAAACACGCATGGCATTCAGGAAGGCAGATGAGTCACTTGTCTCTTCAGACAAAACTTGAGACAGTTTCTTCAAACCTGCATTATTACCAATCAACAACCTTAACAACAACAACCTTAATCAACAAAGACCTTAAACTGCATTATTACGTTCAAAAACAAGTACAACTTCTGAGTCTTCTATCGATGCATAAATGTATTGTTTTTATAGATTTTAAATAAAGTCTCTACAGTGATATTCTGTTGAAGCCGGGATAGAGTATTCTGCATAGCGACTTGGTATGGGCTGGGCGACCGAGGGGTCGGAGTTGAAGCCCCGGTATGGACAAGAATCTCCTCTCCTCCATAGCACCCAGACCGGCTCTGGGGTTCACCCAACCAGTGGGTACCGGAGGCTTTTTCCCCGGGGGTAAAGAGGCCGGGGCGTAAAGCTGACCACTCACCTCCGACTATTGCCGAGATGAAGAAAATATGGATTAGACAAATACCTCCACTCTCCCATGCGCTTTCATGGCGTAGCGCTTAATTAGTTAAGCACAGATACAACCCTTATCTTACAGTGACATTTTGTTATTTATTTTTATCAGCACTACTTATATCATTAAATTTGCCATTTATTTATGTTCTGATGTTCTAGAGCAAAATCATGATACGTTAAGATAGGAAACAGATGTTTTGAAAATGTGGCACAGTTCAGATATTTGGGGACGACGATAACACATCGAAACCTGATTCAGGAGGAAATTAAGAGGCGATTGAACACGGGTAATGCTTGCTACCATTCAGTCCACAAGCTTTTGTCCTCTCGTCTGCTGTCCAAAAACATAAAAATTAGAATATACAAAACTATAATTTTTGCCTGTGATTCTGTATGGGTGTGAAATTTTGTCTGACATTAAGGGAGGAACGCGGCCTGAGGCTGTTTGAGAACAGGGTGTTGAGGAGAATATTTGGACCGAAGAGAGATGAAGTGACAGGAGGTTGGAGAAAACTGCATAATGAGGATCTTCATAACTTTTACTCTTCTCCAAGTATAATTAGAATGATCAAATCAAAGAGGATGAGGTGGGCAGGGCATGTAGCACGAATGGGGGAGACGAGGAATGCGTATGGGATATTGGTGGGAAAGCCAGAAAAAAAGAGACCACTGGGAAGACCAAGGCGTAGGTGGGTGGACAATATTAAAATGTATCTTAGAGAGATAGGATGGGATGGTTTTGATTGGATTGATCTGGCTCAGGATAGGGATCAGTGGAGGGCTGTTGTGAACACTAATGAACCTTCGGGTTCCATAAAATGTTGGGAAATTCTTGAGTAGCTGCAGAATTGGCGGCTCCTCCAGAAGGGCTCAGTTCCATGAGTAAGTATGTGACTAGTCAGGATGACCGCCACAGAGCAATCCAGTTTAGCGAGGTTTTGCTGTCTTGATTAAAGTGGTCATGTTTACATATAGCTATGTCTTCTGAAATATAACGCCGTGTAGCGAGTCCAAATTCAAGCAATGCAATAAAACTGAACGAACTAGCGAGAAGAGAAGGCGTCAAATGGCTTTCAGAGGACTACATAGAGTTATATCCCAGAAGACAGAACCCCACATCATGTTTACATGTTCACTTAACCCCTTACATCTGCTTGTAATTATGTTTAACCCAGAGAAGGCTACAAATGCTGACCATTCCGGGGACAGACCAGAACGTGCAGAAGAGGGAGAGCAGGCCGAAGTTCATCTGGAAGGTACGTCAACCTACGTGTCACATTCTTCTAACAAACACTTCCCCGCGTCCTCTGCTTGCATCCTCAAATTCCTCCTCATGATGTCCTTGCACATATTCTTATAGTTTATCCTTTTCGTAGGCTATTGTGTGAATTTTATACAAATATTAGGATCTCCATTATTATAGCGTAGTTGGTTGAGACACTATGGCACAAGCCGGGAGGTCGCGGGTTCAAGTCCCTATGAGGTCATTGGATTTTTTTCAATTGACCTAATCCTTCCAGCCGTACTATGGCCCTGGGATCTACTCAGCCTCTAAAATAAATGAGTACCAGGAATATTCTTGGGGATAAAGGGCAGCCGGCGCATAAGGCTGACAACCTTGCCGCCATCTATGAGCCGATTGTTTAGAAAATGTGGAAACCTCAACATCTCATCGAGAATCAAACCCGCCTTGTAGCCATAGTGCCTCAATCAACTATGCTATCGCGTATCCCGTCACACCGGAGGTACTGTGGTAAATACATCGCATTTCTTGATTGAAATTTTATTGGAAATTTCGGGTTCCCCGGATAATTTACAGGATGGCGCATAAACGTCACTTGCCGCAGCGCCCCTCCCCGGCTGCTTCATCTCTCGTCCTTCTCGTATCTTTTCTCTCCCGATGTTAAAGAAACTAATTGTTTCGTCCTTGTAAAAGAGTAATTAAAAACTAACACAAGATTTAATAAGAGTTGAGATCATAATTATCTCTTTTTTGTATCATAATAGTCGACGTAAGAGGTAATTGGTCACTGAACAAGAGATAATCATTCACCATCAGCTAAGTCATGCGCCGTAATAACTCAGTCATTATACTTACTTACTTACTTACTTACTTACTCATGAAGCTGAGTCCTTCTGGAGGAGCCGCCAATTCTGCAGGTACTCAAGAATTTCCCAGCATTTTATGGAACCCGAAAGTTCATTACCGTGTTCACAAGAGCCCTCCACTGGTCCCTGTCCTGAGCCAGATCAATCCAATCCATACCATCCCATCCTATCTCTCCACGATCCATTTTAATATTGTCCACCCACCTACGCCTTGGTCTTCCCAGTGGTCTCTTTCCTTCTGGCTTTCCCACCAATATTCTTTACGCATTCCTCGTCTCCCCATTCGTGCTACATACCGTGCCCACCTCCACTCCTTGACTTGATCATTCTAATTATACTTGGAAAAGAGTACAAGTTATGGAGCTTCTCAGTATGCAGTTTTCTCCAACCTCCTGCCACTTCATCTTTCTTCGGTCCAAATATTCTCCTCAGCACCCTGCTTTCAAACACCAACTCAGTCACTATACTGAATACTATATGAGCTGGGCTACTGTGGTGTAGGGGTTCGATTCCCAGTCCATGCAAGAGATTTCTATCTTTCATATAACGTCCAGACAGGCTCTGGAGCCACCAAATCTCCTAGACAGAGGGTGCCACGGGCTTTGTCTCACGGGGGTAAAGCGGTAGGGCCGTGAAGCTAACCATTCATCTCCATCTAATGCCAAGGTCAGGTGTTCCCCATTCCCCCACAAGTCTCCATGGCGTACTGCTTAATTAAGCACAGGATAATTTTACCTTGCCTTACGACAGATCCCGCACGTCTCAGTTCCCTCAGTCTCACGGCCCATGCAATATATTGCATATTTTGTGTTCTTGAGGCACTATGCTACAAGCTGGAAGGTCGCGGGTTCGAGTCCCGATGAGGTGACTTCTCTTTTTAATTTACTTATTCCTTCCAGCCGCACTATGGCCTTGGGGTTGACAGCCTGTAACAGAAAAGAGTACTAGGAATCTTCCCGGGCGATAAAGGGCGGCTGGCGCGTAAGACTGACAACCTTACCGCCATCTGTGAGCCGACTGCCCAGAGAAAATATGGGAGCCTCAACGCGTCACAACCCTATGGGCCTTCACGGCCTGTTATAGGAAGAGCTTTACGTTTTACCTTTTTATTTTGTATTCTTAAGTTCCTTCCTGCAAATTATTAGGGTATAAAATTTCTGACATAAAATTTATATTCATTTACATGATAATGCTCTCTAAATATTCTAAATTATTGTCTGCGTTTCCGTTGCCTATAATTTTCAAATCGGACATAATAAAATAAAACTGCTGATGCAGTAGGAAAATGTGATACAAAAAGTTTTATTTGGCAACGCTCCACTTGCCGCATTGTTATCTGGGAGAAGATATGACGCGATATCTCAAAATTAGGTGTGTTCAAGAGACGGCAATGTGCTTACTTCAGTTTTTCGAAACAAAGTCCTTCATCAAAATGAAACGTCATTACAGAACTCAATATGGAAAGATCCACCTTCACATAATGCTATCTTACGTTAGTTAAAGCCGTTGCAAGAGACTGGTAGTGTTCTGCGCCGAAAAGGACAGGGCAGACCGAGCACTTCGCAGGAAGATGTTGATCGAATGCAGGAAGCTTGGACATCTTACATGCCACGAAATGCGCACATGTTGAAGTTGTTTAGCATTTTGCAGAATTGATTCTAAAAATAATAAAACGTTTTGGTTTACGCTTTCATATTCCGCAAGCAGTTATATTCTGTTATCTCCGGTTTGAAAATTACAGACCACGGAAATCCCGCCAATAATTTAGAATCGCTCTGTATATTATATGCGTTCATAAATGTCCATTTACTTATACAGAACCTTTGTCTCTATTTATCAGGTCTGCTTCTGAGAGCAATGAAGGCAGATCCTTTTCGTGAGGTGTACGAAGGTATGCAGGACTTATTTACTGTTGTGCTAAAAGCTGTCGGTCCAGGTCCTCAGGCTCTGCAGGGTGGTGCAGGTAGAGGACATCAACCAGTGAATCAACCTACTGCACAGTCAGTTGCACAGATTAGAAAAGAATTGTCATTAGGAGAGATGTCAGTAGACGTGTATAGTTTAGTTCCAGATGAACAATCCAGCCGTTGTGACAGATCTCAAGCCAGTAATGAAGGTGACATAACGCCATTTTCACATCTACAGGAATGTTCCATTCGCCCACAGTCTGTTGACAGTCATGCCGCTCTCAGAAACAATGAAGACTCCGGTGATGTTGGACATTTGGGCTTTGATGTATCTGTCGGCGAGGCACATGACCAAGTGCAGAATGAACGCGATAAAACTTCGATTCAGTCATCCATCTTAAGTCAGAATCAAACTCTGTGGATTGACAAGAAATTACGAGAACTTCAGGCAGTGTCAAAAGAATTAAAAGACTTACTGCACTTGATGAAGGCTGAAACAGGTACTGCCGAAGAAAAATCACGTATTGAACGAAATAATATGACGGACAGCAGAATAGACCCTTGTAATCGTGCGGACCCAAAGAACGTTAAGCGTACATTATCCGGAAGTCAAATTGAAGGACACTCTGACCGAAAGAAAACCAAGTATGATGGATATAAAATGCACAAAAATTCTGCCTTATGTGTTACTAAATACTGGGTTGCGAAACTGCAGAGCAGGTGTCACGAACTGCAGGTTATGTGCGAAGGGGTGAGTTCTGTACTGCCGGGTACGTTGGAGGCCTTTCTGGTGGGTGGTATCATTTGCCCAAATTATGCCAGACCATACCTCCATCTGGCAGAAGTCACCTACACGCTTATTGGATTCTCGTCCAAATTACTTTCTGCCGTGGGAAACATTATGAACAATATTTCCGGTTCTAATATTAAGGAAATCGCTCATCTGCTTTTCGCAGTTAAGGAACTGATTACAATCTTTCCTCCACTGGAAACGGCTTGTCAGAATTTGTACTCTGAGTATCTGCACGATCGCTCGCCCAGTGACTGTCATTCAGGCAGCGAAGAGAGCAAACATTGGCACATTCAAGCTAGGGCGAAAATTGATACGATATTCCACCAAATGGATGTGGCTTATGAGCAGTTGGAGAAGGCCATCCGGAAAATGAATATTATTTGCGATAATGAAGCAGCGTCTTCAGAAATACCATTATGCCAATTGCGTCCTCAGACAGACTCAAAACAGGTTGATCCGAAAGAAATTTTATTCATAACTGCAAGAAAAATCTTGTTAATTGGGAAACATATATCATCTCTAATGGAGGTAAGGAAGTTTCAAGGTCAAGCAGAATAACTCATGTCATTTACTGACACATGCCGGTTTTATCGTATTGACTTAGACGCAACAAATTTGTTGTATGTTTTTAACAATTTGACGAACATTTTCTTATGTTTTTCGTTAAGTAATTGGACATTGCAATTGTTTAAATTTTAAGTCCAGTGTGTTATGTTAATATGTGAATTTCATATCTTGACAGAATGTTATGGCTAACCATTAAGTTGGAATACAGAGACATGCGAGATGAGTCTGTGTGCAATGTTTGTGCTACAATGTAACTGTGAAATATTCCTTGAAATAAAGCAAACACCATAAAACTATATATTCTTTACAGCACGAACATCCTTCAAGGTAAAGGTAAACTTATCCCTGGGCTTCTGACGACATGCAGTAGAAGTACAGCTCCTAGGCACTAGATGGAGGTGAGTGGTCAGCTTCACGCTACTGCTGCTTTACTACCGGGGAAGCAGCCCCTGGGAGCAGTTGTACAGAAGGCTGTAAAGTTAAAAAAGAAAGAGAGATTCTGTTTTGTCCCTTAAGCTTCGCGTGTACCTACTTCCTTGAGAATATGATAGTGGCTCAGCTGGCCAAGTAATTTCCCGTCCATTGCGGAGAATCGAATTTCTTTGGCATAGAAAAATGTCTTTAATTTTTGCATTTGTTTCTGTTTCATATGAAGCTGTGAGTGTAGATATCCAGTATACCTTGTCAGAACCAACACAACTTGCCCTCTTTTACCCTATTATATGATTCTACCGCCTGACCATGTGATGATGACGGTGATGTAATAGTAGTAGTAATCATAATATTTTTATTTTATTATTTATGACCCTGAAGATGGAAGTCATATGTTCCTCATAAATTTCGGTCGACTTTCAAGGGACTACAAGGCGTTATATTCCAGAAGACAGTACTCTTATAATAATAATAATAATAATAATAATAATAATAATAAGGGGCCAAGGGGAAGAAGAGGCACAGATCCTCTCCGACCCCAGGGATATAGATGCGAATATATAGCCTCTCTGTACTCAAGACCGTCCATGCGTGATGAATAGGTACCCTACAGGAGGTAGCCCCGTTGAACATCTTAACATGGCGGATCTAGAGGAGTAAACCTCGAAAAAAAATCCCCTAGCCCAAAGTGTACACTACCGTGCTGATGGACTACAGGAGCACCTGCGGCGGAGGGTGAGAAGCCATAAACGGTGAACTCCAAGAAGCGGCGACCCTTGGTTACAAGCAGCCTTACTGCGGCAGGCGGGGCAATACTGAAGCGGACAGAATAATTCCCTAGCTACTTGTGGGACAGCGATGGAAAAAAATGCAAATGAATATATGTACAAAGGCAGAAGGAGTAGAGCGCAATCCTCTAACGATCAACAAGGCGAGAATGGTAACCGCAAAGAGGAAACTCAACGTGGACCACCTCCAAAACAACCCAACGTCGGGGAACCAAACAACGAAGACAAAGCTAATATACGGACCCGATGGAACAAAGAGGAAATGAAGGAAGTTGTGTGGTGTTTCCTGGCATCAACAGGCAATTACAAGGAAGCATATGAATTATGGAGAAGCAGAAATCTAAAAGTAAGGCCAACAATGAATGCAAAGCTACTGCTAAACCAGAAAAACTACATTCTGAAGAATAAAAGACTTACAGACATTGAAATCGATGAGATAAGAGAAAGCATTAACTCGTATACAGAGGACAGCACAGGAGACCATGTAAGAAGGAAGGACAACAATGTAAGCACCAAAGAGGATGAAATGCAGGATAGAAGCACAAGAGAGGACGCAGAGCAGAATGCGGAGAGGAACGGGTTAAAGGAACAACTTCAGGTAGCATGGCACAAGGTGAGGTTCTTACAAATGTCAGAAAGAAGAAGACTGCCGAAATTGGAAGAAAACAAGAAGCTGGTTTGCCTGAAGGAACAAGTAAATGGGATAATAAAAGAACTCTTGGAAGAGAATCAAATAGACATAACAGAAGTGAACCACTTGATATACGCTGCAGCAACAGTTATCACAGAAACAACTATTAAACCTAGGAAAACAATGACAACCAGAAGATTTAAAGATGCTTGGAAACTAAGAATACAGAAACAGATAAGCAAATGGAGAAAAGACTTGTCCATACTCACAGAGTCAGGCTCTGGCTCCGATAACATTAAACTGAACACAAAAAAGAGGAAAATTTTTCAGAAGTATAAAATGACAAATGCCAGAGAAGTAGCAGAGTTAATAGAAAAACTAAAACAGAAAATACAAGCAAAGGCTCAAAGAATCAGAAGATATGAAAAAAAGAAAAACCAATACATCCAGAATAACATGTTCAAGGAAAACGCAAATCGATTTTATCGACACCTGGGGGCAAAAGCTATAGAGGTCACAGCTCACCCCAATATGCAGGAAGTAGAGTTCTACTGGCAGGCAATATGGGAAATGGAAACACGACACAATGAAAAGGCAGAATGGATAAGAAGAGAGGAAAAAGGAAGAGAAGGAACCAGCAACATGAAGTGGATGCCTATAAAAACTACAGAATTTACCTTAGTTTTGGCCAAAACGCACAACTGGAAGTCTCCTGGAAGTGACCAAATACAAAATTACTGGCTAAAAGCATTCCCAGTTACACACAGTTATATTGTAGAAGCTTTCAACAAAATAATAGAGAAACCTCAACAAATGCCCAATGGCTGACTACAGAATAACATACCTACTTCCTAATTCGAAAAACACTGTGGACCCAAAGAACTACCGACCGATTACTTGTTTATCGACTATGTATAAGATGCTGACAGGAATTATTGCCAGAAGAATTTCGTTATATTTGGAGGAGCACAACCTATTGCCAGAAGAACAAAAAGGATGTCACCCAGGAAGTAAAGGATGCAAGGACCAGCTGCTGATATCAAAAGCAATACTTGAGGACTGCAGGAGGAGGAAAAAGAACCTAAACATGGCTTGGATTGACTATCAAAAGGCATTTGATAGAGTGCCCCACAGCTGGATAGAAAAGTCAATGGAACTAGTAGGAGTGAATGATAGCATAGTGAAATTTTGCAAACACTCCATGGAAAAATGGAACATAAAGCTTCAGCTGAGGACAAACAGGAACTCATGCAATCACAACCCATTAAAATAAACAGAGGAATATTTCAGGGTGACTCATTATCACCACTACTTTTTTGCATAGCACTTATTCTGCTAACTCATGAACTAAACAGATCTGGATGTGGGTACCAGGTGCATGGATCTGAAAGGAAAATAGGTTACTTGTTGTATATGGATGACTTGAAACTGTTAGGAAAAAGTGAGGAAGAATTGAGGGGCGAGATTAAAATTGTAAAAACATTCAGTAATGATATAAAAATGGAGTTTGGATTAGAAAAATGTGCCAGAATTTCGATAAAAAAAGGCAAGGTTCAAAGAAAAGAGCATGTAGAAAAAACAGGGGAGAATGAAATTAAAGAACTAGAAACAAATGGAGCATATAAGTGCCTGGGAATAGAAGAGAACCACCAGATAGAACACAAGAAAGAGAAAGAAAGGTTGAAGAAGGAGTATGTAAGAAGATTAAGATTGATTTTGAACACAGAGCTGAATGCAAAAAACAAAATGCAAGCAATTGGATCATTGGCAGTACCAGTACTGAGATACAGTTTTGGAATCATTAACTGGCACAAAGAGGAAATACAAAAATTGGACAGGAAAACAAGAAAAATGTTAACTAGCTATGGACAGCATCACCCAAGATCAGATATAGACCGTCTGTATGTTCCTAGAAAAGAGGGAGGACGAGCCCTGATACAGATAGAGGCGGCTTACGTGGCAGAAACCACAAACCTAGGGGAATATGTTCATATGGGATTTGTGGTGGACAAAGTGGCACTGGGGCTGCTTTTCTCCAAGTACTTGGGTTTCCCCTGACAATCTTCATCCCACCAATTGCTCCACAATCACCATCATCTATCATCTGGGGCTGGTACAATAGGCCAGTAGTTGCCGCAATACCAAGTGGACCTAGTCTCACTCCTCTAAGAATAATAAACAAAATTGTACTTTTATTCAATCCGAAAGGGTTAATAGCACTAAGGAGTACTGCGTAGTTTCTTTTTGGGATGGAGTGAGGATCAGTCCAATTGGTACTTCGGCCACTATTTGGCCAATTGTACCAGCCCTGGATGATAGATGATGATGAATATGGAACAGTCGGTGAAATGCAAATTGGCAGGGGAAACCAAAGTACTCGGAGAAAACCTGCCCCAGTGCCACTTCGTTCACCACAAATCCCATACGACCTGGGCTCTAACCCGGGCCGCCGCGGTGGGAAGCCGAGCTATGGCACGGGCAGAAGTACTACGTAAAGTTTAGGCATGAGGACATTAGCAAATGCAGAAGCATGAGAAAGAAGCCACTTCTATGTGAACAGGATTTCCCAGTATTGATAAGCTATTCGGGTAGTGACCGGGAATTGCTGATCTTACGGTCAATCAGAATACTCCCCAAGACCTGCGCCCAAAGATGCTGGAATTGGAAGAGGCATTATGGATACCCCTGATAATTGCATAGATTTTGGTGACAAAGCAGTAATAAGGTAAATCTCGCGCAGAAGGGCACCATCCCAACGTTCAATTGTTCTGAGACGAGTGAGAATATGATTAATTTAGATAAACTGCAATTAGGAGGTAAAAGTAAAATTGTCCCTGTGCTTAACCCATTAAGCACTACGCCATGAAGGCGTATGGGGGGAGTGGATGTATAATAAATGCACATTTTCTTGACCTCAGCACTAGTTTGAGGTGTTGTCAGCCTCAAGCCCCTGCCGCTTTAACCCCGAGGAAAGAGCCCCCGATATCAATTGTATAGGAGGGTTGGTGGACCTCAGAGTCGGTCTGGACGACATGGAGAAGAGAAAATACTTTCTCCACCGGGACTCGAACTCCGACTCTTCCGTTCTCCAGCCCGTAGCCAGTCACTACACCGACTGAGCTATCCCAGATCCCCCTTGAATTAGAAGCGCCTCTTGTAAACCTAGTCACAACGATGAATTGCAGCTGCCTAGCTACATAGTCAACGAAATTAAAAAAATGAATGAAGAGCAAGAATAGAAATTGAGTCATGCAGACAGGGCACATCAAGTCTCAGTGATGTCCTCTGCTGGCGCAGCCGCTTTGGCAGTAGCTGCTGCAGTTGGTACAGGAGTGCACATCCACTGTGTTCAAGCCCAGAATCATTAACAGTGATTATACGTCTAGAGATAGTGTGCACAGGAGAGGTGTGAACCTCGTCCTCCAGGCCCAGAAGATGTAGACTGCTCTGCTACACAGCGAACTCCCATGACTTCAAACAGAAGTCCTAGGGCCAAAAGATGCAACAGTCGCAGCCCAGCAGTGCAGAAACGTTAGACCAGCAACCATTGGAATTGGGAGGGGGGGGATCCTGGATAACTGCGAGAGCCAAGCTTCGTATTTTACATATAACCTTTATATGTAAAATCCATGAGCCGGGATAGCGACTTGCTACGGGCTCGGCAACCGAGGGGTCGGAGTTCGAGTTCCGGTAGGGTCAACAATTTTCTCCACGTCGTCCAGACTGGCTCTGGAGCCCACCGAACCTCCTATCCAATGGGTACCGGGGGCTCTTTCTCTGCGGGTAAAGCTGCAGGGGCGTGAAGTAGACCACTGTTCCGCAACCGGTGTGCCGTCACAAGGTGAAAGGTGTGACGCGAACTTTTACCTACTGTAAGAAATTAATTGTCGAATTTTATTCGTTTTATTTTATCCCAGTTACCGTGTTTCATATGCTTGTATTTTATTCTCAGCCACTGCACTGTTTAAATAAGATGATGCTTGTTTGTTCTTTATTACATGCCGTGATTTTTTATGTACACTAATGTTTCATTCTAAGAAATTAAACGTAAATTATTTACTCACAGTTGTTGTTACATCATAGTTTTCATTATTGATTTATTTTTATTTTTCTCCCATCTACGCGACTTCTTTGATATGCTTGCCGCATGTTCTGTGTACGTGCTTTTCCCTAAAACTGCAAGGATTAGCACGGGTTTTCCTGTCTTTTATAACACTGTTTCGGTATTTGTCCCTGTCTGTTTGAAATTAGAGCTTCTTCAACTTTATGACTTTCTTCCTGTAACGATGCACCCACCGATTGTTGGACTTCATTTAAAATTATAAATATTTAAAAAATAAGTCGGTATAGTCTCACTTCTTCCGTTTGAAGAGTAGAGATCCCATGTTTTACAATTGTTTCCGTTCCATCACAGCTGTGCTCTGAAGTAGTTCGCAAATTTTGGTTGCTAGCTAGAGAATTACAGATGGGTCGTTTGAGATGTCCCCGACTGTATGGCCACTTGCTGACGGCAATAAAGTGGTGATGGACACAATTAAAGAACATTTAGAAATGCTGCAGCAGAAATTCAATAANTGCAACTACATATTTGTGTGAACTGGGCTTCTCGACGTTAACTGAAATTAAGACATGAAAGAGGGAGCGACTCAAATCCATCGATGAAGAAATGAGACTTGCGTTGTCAACGATTCCACCACGGATCAGTCGCCTGTGTGCAGCTACGCAGGCGCAAGTATCACTTTGAAGGTATGAGTAGAATTACTGTATTTACTTTAATAGTAATAGAAGTGTATTTTCTACAGTCTACAGTGAATTAAAGTTCATTAATTGCTAATAAATGCACGAGTCGATTTCTGTTTAATGATAATAATATTATTGTAATAAGTTGATCACGTTACGTATTTATATTAATTGTCTGATATCATGCTTTTTTGAGGGGAATAACATTTTGGTGTGCCGTGTTGAGTCATGGATACATCATGGTGTGCCGCGAATTGAAAAAGGTTGCGGAACACTGAAGTAGACAACTCACCTCCAACTAGTGTCTAGGTCAAGAAAATGTGGACCTATACTTTCACTCCCCCATACGCCTTCATGACGTAGTGCTTAATTAGTTAAGCACAGGGACAACTTTATCTTCTTATCTGTAACCTTTTGCAGTTATGGATCACCCCTTCCAAATTTATCTTCCTTATAACCACTTTGCACGTACCGAACAGAAAACACCGTTTCCAACAATCACTCTATTGTTGCAGACGCGTGTTTACCGATCCGTTGCCTAGAAACGGCTTGTATCACCGTTGTTTTGTTGTTGCGTGAGTGTATATAGCGGGCGTTACCTAGCAGCAGCTGCTGTTTACAGAGTCACTGCTTAGCAACGGGTCTATACGTCATAATATGTCATCCAATCCAGTAACAAAGAAACAAACATTTGTGCTTCTTCCTAATTAGAAAGTCCTAAACAGAACTTGAACCCGTACACTCTATGAACTATCTCTATATACCACACCAGTGGTCATATCTCGGAAGCCTACGGTTCATGCAGGAATACCGCTTTGCTTTGCCACGGTTTTTACGGAGAGTCTGTGATTTTTATATCCCGCCTATCGCTTGAATACAGCGTTCCCTCACAGCACGGCCAAAGTAATGTCAGTTCTTTCTACCACAGGACGTGACTGTGCTCAGGTGGCTCAGTCGCAGTCAGTCGGGTCAATCAAGCAAACGTGCATCTGTTAATTGTAGTGCAGAGGTCAGAGTGAACACAGTTTAATAAATGGGTAAGAATGAATTGAATTTTGTCATTTATTCCAGTTTTTTGTGCTGTATACAGCTAACAATATTCGTACACCAGTTATCAGAAATATAAGGTACTTGACCTGTCTTAAAAGCAGTAACATGGCGATTTCTATATATTTATTACGAAGATATGCCGTAATTAATTTTTTTTTATTTCAACATCGTCCAGACTGGTTCCGGGGCCCACCCAGCTTTAAATTCAAATGGTACAGGGGGTGCTTTTCCTCGGGGGCAAAGCGGCCATGCCGCGAAGCTGCCCGCCCACCTCCAACTAAAGCCGAATTAAAAAAATGCGCGGATCTATATACCCACTGCCCCCATACGTCTTCATCGCATAGTGGTTAATTAGTTAAGCACAAGGGAAAAGTTAACGTTGTTTATTTATTGTGATAAATTTGGTAAACATTATTCTTAACTTGATCTTTTTTATTAAGTAATGTCGCTTTCTGTTACTTTGAAACATGTTCTCTTATGCTGGACGGATGTACATTGCGGACGTGTTTGTAAACAAAATTTTTCAGGAGAGCAATTCGCTCGAAGGGAAAGCCGCAGAATGGGTAATCAAACATATGGCATAAAGAGAAACTGTGGTTGCTAATGTTCATATCAGAGAATTGCACTGAGATCGTGACACTTTGATACCATGAGTGACATGCCAGTTACATACGGAATTACAGGTTGATTCTAAAGTATTGTCGGTGTTTCTGTCTATAGGCAACAGAAACTCCGACAATAATTTCGAATCAATCAAAATTTATTTTAAAAAATTGTCCGTATGACGAACTGTTCAAATGACGGACATTGTCACCGGTCTGTACATATTTCATAACAAAAAACTGAGATAATTTTCTGTAGGTATGACAGTCTATCAACTGAAGATGATAATTTTAACGAACTTTTCTAAATAGTTATACAGGGTGATTCTAAATTATTGCCGGGGTTTCCGTGACCTGTAAATGGAAACGCCGACAATAATTTAGAATCATTCTGTATAATGTATACTTCAAACAATAATCAGCGTGGCACAAAACCAAAGCTTCATATTAAAAATCATACAAATATGTCTTTAAATGACGTTTTCCTCTGTATTAGTAATTACATGTTTTTCCCATGAAACGGTCATCTGAATACACATATATAGTGTGTTATTGCGAATAAGAAAAAAAATTATATATTTTTAAATATATCTATGTGACTGTTAATCCCGTGCCATGAACGATATGCATAAGCAGGGTGAAATCCTAAAAAAAAAAATCGGAATTCACTATTGTTAAAATTAATCAAAGTCTTTTTTCTTTCCCCCTTGGCACTACAGACCCAGTGGGCCTAGGCCTACCTCCATGAACTTCTCCGTTCACTTCGGTTTTTCTAAATCTTACACGTTCGGTAGAACTCCTTGGGCGGGTGATCAGCTCGTCGCAAGGCCTCTACCTGTATACAAACACACAAAAACGCACACACAAACTAAACATCCATGCCCTGAGTGGGATTCGATCTCACGATCTCGGTTTCCAAGCGAGCGAAGACAGTACATGCCTTAGACCGCTCGGCTGCCGTGACCGGCAATCTAAGGCTTACACATACACAAACAACCAGTCTTTAGATGAATGTAACGTAAAATTCTTCCTGCGTTTAATTAATTAAGCACCATGCTATTAAAACTTACGGGGGAGTGGATATATAGCTCCACTGTTTTTTGACCTTATGTTGGGTCCTCGCTTCGGACATCAGTGTTGTGTATTGTGTCCGCAGAGGATATGACGGGTTGGTCAGCTGAGAATGTGTTGAGCCGTCAGCGGTGGAAATGAGAACTGCTTGAAGACGTAGCTTAAAACAAGGCGTTTATTATACACAGGAAATATAACTAGACGAGCAGGTGAAAGCGTAAGGCCGTTTGCACAAAGCCAACTTTGCCCTAACTGACAGAGTACCGTCCACACAGACTAAACGTCGTATCAAATCGGGGAGAAAGTGAATTGAGACTGCTAAGGACTCGGTATTTATACAGATTATTTGGGGTGTTGCCTAATGGAAGCTTTCCACAGTGTATGACATATCTACGTGGGTATTTTACCAAATGTCTCGGGCCATTACCGATGCATCCTCAGGGTCGAGCATGGAAAGTTTCAGAGAGGGAGTGTCAATAGTTTCCCTCGTTTTCTAACATCAAAGGAAGGTAATTTTGGTAGCTTCAACAAATAACATTGATGAACTCCACTTGTACAGTCTTAGTCAAAAGATATTAAATATTTTACATGTTGATTTACAATAATTCAATATAACATAATTACCCTTCATAATAACCTCATAGACTCCATATGCAACACTTGGCACTAGTTGGAGGTGAGTGGTCAGCTTCACGCCCCAGCTACTTTACCCCGCGGAAAGAGCCCTTCCGGTGCCCATTGGATACGAGGCTGGGTGGGCCCTTTATATGAAGTTCAAAGGCAAAAATCTGTTGTTGATGAATATTGAAATCAGTCACACAATATACTGTGACGTTTTGATTTGTTTCATTCTGGTCCGTCACACTAACAATATTATAATAAATAAAACAGTTACGTCCAGTGCGACTGGTGAAGATTTTTCTTGTTTCAGTTCTTCACGCACTTACATGTTTCGGTCCTTAAGAGACCATCATCAGAGCGACATAGATACAGTTTGAAAACCACTATTACAATAGGTGTTTGAGTGTTAAAATATATGTACATACTATGATAATACACAAATAGATGCAAAATCCAAAGTTTTCACAACTACAGCGGCTGTCTTGATATATACTTTTTTTTTAATTTTGTTAGTTAAGTTATAATTTATAATTTACATATAATATATATATATAATTTATATATTTTAACACTCAGAACACCTATTGTAATAGTGGTTTCCAAACTGTATCGATGCCCCTCTGATGATGGTCTCTGAAGACCGAAACATGTAAGGGCATGAAGAACTGAAACAAGAAAAATCTTCACCAGTCACACTGGATGGAACTGTTTTATCTTTTTATAATATTGTTAGTGTTTATTGGGAGAATTCGTTTCTGTAGTGCAGTTAATGAACTTCCTAATATATCTCTTATGTGAGCATATACAATTTTTACCTTCAACGCAACAATATTTTAATTTATTTATTTTATATAGCACGTATTTTAGGTAAATAAATAATAAAGTATTGCTGCGTTGACGGTAAAAATTGTATACGTTCGTTGCATATACGCAACAGGATGCAATCCTTAAAAATAGTATGTCATGTTTTTGATGTGTGACGTGAAACTTACACAGCGCGGGTGAGAGTTCAGTTCCTGCAAAATATTATCACGACTGCACTGACTGTAATCGGGGTTTTGGATTGGTAATCGGGTATAATGGACTCTTTGATACAGCGCGTGACTACATTTTACAGTTCACTGTTGTACACGCGCGCGCGCCTTCACTGCCGTTACTTGGTAGCGGCTTCCAACGGCGGACGTTCACCTTCCTCTGGGTTCCTGAAATATCCTCATGCCTCAGCTACAAGCTTATAAAAGTAAAAGCTCAAAACGACTGAAAAGCAGTAGTCTTCAGTAGCCCTGACCTCAGGGTCAGGGACAGGGTCAGGGTCGCTTTACGATTGGCGGTTTACCGCCAATCAGTTCGTCTTGACGCCAAGCCCCTTGACGTTCACGACCAGACTTTCCGCCCCAACTGCACCCTTGCGGTCATAGACCTTATGTAACATCCTCTCTGACGAGAAGATGAGTTTGTTTCTAGTGAATATGCTTGGCCTTTCGTCAAGTTTACCTTTCGCACATATAGTATGTTACTGAAATTTCTTCCTTTTGCACTACACAGAAGCCCTCTGTCAATACAGGTTTTGCAAAGCAGATCATGTTTGTTTTACTTATCTTATGCTATAATGGCAGTCTACTATCTTGAACGGTCCTGTGCTTGACCGCCGCCAAGTTTAAGCCTCTTATATTGTCTATGTGTCGAGCTTCGCCTTGTCCTCTGCTGCGAAACTTACTCGACTAACTTGGCCTGCTTAAAATATCTCGGCATTGACCGTACAGAAAACACCGTTCATCTGTTACTGTGTGCGGGCCATTGCCTAGTAGCGGCCGTTGTATAGTTGCTTATTCCGAGTCCTTTGCCTAGGAACGGGTCTACATGCCACAAGAGTGAGCCTCATAAATTCGCACCAAAGTGCTATATGCAGAATCAAGCCGCGTTCTCACATACACATCATTCGCGAGAGAGGATGAACCAGGGGTAGAACGCCGTATAGTCCGTCGCAAGTCACCCGACATTTTGGAGGTGCCTGTTGCTATCACACTTTTTTGTTTCGCTTATTCTTCTACATTGAAGATGGAGGCAATATGCTCCCCCGAAACGCTGACTTTCAACGAATTACAACGCGTTATATTCCAAAAGATGGAATTCATCGGAAAGCTAATTTGAACGAAATGAAACAACAATAATTGTTAATGATACAAATTATATAAATGTGGCAAAGTTGGAATATTTGGGAACGACAGTAACAAATCAAAATTTGTTACAGGAGGAAATTAAGTGGAGGTTGAATTTTCGTAGTGCTAGCTATTATTCAGCCCAGAAGCTTTCTTCTTTTCGTCTGCTGTCTAAAAGCATAAAGATGGGAATATACAAAACTATAATTTTGTCTGTGGTTCTGTGTGTCACTGACATTAAGGGGGAACATAGACTGAGGGTGTTTGAGAACAGGGTGCTGAGGAGAATATTTGGACCGGAGAGAGATGAAGTGACAGGAGGTTGCAGAAAACTGCATAATGAGGAGCTTCATAACTTGTACGCTTCTCCAAGTATAATTAGAATGATCAAGTGAAGGAGGATGAGGTGGGCAGGGCATTTAGTACAAATGGGGGAGAAGAGGAATGCGTATAGGATTTTGGTGGGGAATCCAGAAGGAAAGAGACCAGTATGAAGACCAAGACAGTAGGTGGGTGGATAATATTAAAATGGACCTTAGATAGGATGCGTTCGTAAGGACCGGATTAATCTGGCCCAGGATAGAGACTAGTGGAGGGCCCTTGCGATCAGAATTATGAACTTTCGGATTGCATAAATTGCTGAGAAGTTCTTGAGTAGCTGCACAACTGACCGATTCTCAAGAAGGGCTGAGCTCCATGAAGTTAGTTAAGGGTTAGAACTCTGACCTCAGTGACCCTGGAGGTCCTGTATTTGAAGGTTGGACGTAAGGTTATGAATGTCTGTTGAGACCTCTTCTCACCCATGTTTCAGCTGACTACACTCTTTGTTTACTTACCATTACTCAGCGTTACAATTTGAATGCAGATAAAATCAGTGGCAATAACGGGAGGTGAAACAGGTCTCAGCCAACTGACCAACTCCATGGAACTATGTCCCTTTATGTAATAATGTTGTATACATAAAATTGTCCTTGTGTTTAATCAATAAAGAAGTATTCCATGAAGACGTATTTGGGAGTGGAGGTGTAGCTCCACCATACTTGACCTCGGCACTGGATGGAGGTGAGTGGTCACATTCACGGCCCGGCCGCTTTATCCCCCCCCCC